CACACACCAAAGGGGTCGCGGCGCACAGGTTGAGAACCGCTGATTTAAGGAGCCCTGGTGGTGCTGTGAGCCGTGCTTTGCAGACTTGAGGTTGGCGATTCAGGGGGTCAAGATCACAGTTCTACACCAGCACGCAGGCGTTGCCATGAGGAGTCGTCAATTCAACAGCAATTGGTTACTCTGTTTCATTTGGAATCACAGAGCTGACTCAACCTGAGGGCACATGAGAGCCGATCTGGTGGGTTACACTTTGAGCTGCAAGGTCAGCAGTTCGAACCCATCAGCTGCTCTGTGGGAAGAAAATGAGGCTGCCTACCCCTGTAAAGAATGACCATCTCAGGAATGCACAGGGACTCTTCTCCTCCATCCTGTAGGGCCCTATAGGCGTCCCTTTCTGAGCACACGGGCCACCGGTGCCCCCACCCGGTCCCAGGCACTTGGAGGCAAGCTGGAAAGTTTGCGACCTGATACACATGTCAGGGTTCCTCTGGGTCTCTTGCGGGAGCTAGATGCCACCTTCTGACCCAGCACTTGCAGTTCTCTTTGCTCTTGGCCGCTGGGAGAGTCTGAGGCCCCTGCTTGCCTCCTTGCCCCTGGGTTAGGACCTGCCCTGCCCCCACCCCGGTGGACAGGAAGGGGTCAGTACATGGGCAGGTGGGACCGAGGGGCTGCCCAACAGGCAAGGTGACAGACCGGGAGGTTCTTGCCTTCTCCCTGAGCTGTGCTTCTTCACCTGCCACAGGTTCCCATCAGCATGGGGTTCCACGCAATAATTAGATTAGCGGTCCCTGATTGGTTGGCCTTCATAGATAAACAGGAAATGGTGGGGGCTGTGTCTTTTGTCATTCGGTGTCACCCATTCAGGATCATTGCTTAGCATTTGATGGGCTTTCCTTGGCTGCCTGTCTCTGGCGACAAGATGGCATCGGCGCTGTTGGTTCCTTCATTGAAGCCAAAGCAGAGTGTTCCATGCCGGAGGCGCTGCTGGATGGTATGATGGTTGAAGCGCAGGGACTCCGGAGTCAGGCTGCCTGGGTTCAAAGCCAGGCCCTGCTCCTTATTCGAGAGGTGGCTGGAGGCAAGGTCGCTGGCCTCTCTGTGCCTCCGCAGCCTCATCTGGAAAGAGAGGGGACCACAGCCCCATGGCACATGTTTCACACGGCTATTTGCCAACATCCGGGACATGGAGAGAAGTGGGATGCCTGTCAAGTGCTTGCAACAGTCCCATGCTCACCTCCTGTAGCTCAGCCGTGGTGACG